TTGTATTTTTAGTAGAGATGGGGTTTCACCATGTTGGCCAGGCTGGTCTCAAACTCCTGACCTCAGGTGATCCTCCCACCTTGACCTCCCAAAGTGCTGGGATTACAGGCATGAACTACGGCACTTGGCTAACATTTCTTGACATAAATATTTACATTTTGAAAAAAATTAAACATTATTATTATTTCTGAGATGGAGATGAAGATGTATACCTTAGTTCAGGCCTTTGAAGAATGAAGAGAGGGAGATGGCTGGCTGTTGCTGGACCTCTGGAGCTAAAAGAAGGGATCCCACGGTGTTGGGGCTCAAACATTGGCTATCTCAGGAGCTCAGGGGAAAGGCCCCCTGAAGCTGGAATTCACATCTCTGAGGAGAGCACTGATTGCTGCTGTTATCTCTGAGGGGTGCAATAAGGCTGATTCTGTGATTGTTGGAAAAAGGATGGAGATTAAAACCACCTGCTGGCTAAAGGAATTGCTCTTGCCACGGTAAAAGGCAGCTGCTGCTGGGATGATGCTCACAGAATGGAGCAAGTCCCTTCTTCCTCTTGCCTTTGTTGCCCTGTTGGTGGAATCTCTCAGGGGCGCCCCAGTAACATGGAGTTGAGTATAAAAGGGTGACTGTGTGAACGAGAAACAATAACCACCACATATTTACTTGTTTCTCTAGTGTGATTCTGAGTCGCAAAATCACTAAGATACAGGATTTGTACATTTCAAATTTTAATAGAGACTCCACGTTAAACTCCTTTTCTTTTCTTTTTTTAAATAAAGACGGGGTTTCACCGTGTTGGTCAGGCTGGTCTTGTACTCCCGACCTCAGGTGATCCGCCCACCTTGGCCTCCAAAGTGCTTGGATTACAGGCGTGAGCCACCATGGCCGGCCGTTAAACTCCTTTTCTAAACTGCACATAACACTTTCAATATGGATAAAAGGGGACAGGGGGAGAGATTTAGAGAGAATATTGCCTACATCAGTAATCACATTTTTTTTTTGAGACGGAGTTTCACTCTTGTTACCCAGGCTGGAGTGCAATGGCGCGATCTCGGCTCACCGCAACCTCCGCGTCCTGGGTTCAGGCAATTCTCCTGCCTCAGCCTCCTGAGTAGCTGGGATTACAGGCATGCGCCACCATGCCCAGCTGATTTTTTGTATTTTTAGTAGAGACGGGGTTTCACCATGTTGACCAGGATGGTCTCGATCTCTTGACCTCGTGATCCACCCGCCTCGGCCTCCCTAAGTACTGGGATTACAGGCGTGAGCCACCGCGCCCGGCCCAGTAATCACATTTTAAGAAGACTTGGGAATACTGTCAAAATGCAGGATCTGATTCAGGAGTTCCGAGGGGCCCGAATTGGCCATTCTAACCAACGCCCAGGAGATACTGATGATTGCATCCCTTTGGAAGTCTAACCCATTCCCATCCTCCCACAGCCTCTACCATAACATCCTATTGCTACCCTCATGTGTAACTGCCCCTCTTGTGATTCATGCCAGTTTCCTACCCGCTAAGCAAGGAACAAATGTTGCTTCTGAAAGCGCTGAAGATAGGATTTGGCGCCACGGATCCAATGCTTGGCTTCCTATTGGCCAGGAATGACGTCACTCAGACAGGCGTGGCTTTAACTGTGACGTCTAAGGCGGCGGATGGTCAGTGACTCAGCGGGAGGCGGGAGGTGGGAGGCGGGAGCGGAAGTGGGGCAGCAGAAGAACGGGGCGGGTGGCGGAAAACGGGGTCCGGGGGAAGTTATTACAGGGAGTCCTCTTCCGGCACCAGAGGCCGGAAGTTGTCGCCAGGACGTGTCAACCTGGGTCTGAGGGCTCAGAATACAGCTGCAACCGCGACCATGGGCGGGAAGAACAAGCAGCGAACTAAAGGGAACCTGAGGGTGAGTTGGGGGGTGGCTCGGCCGACCAGGGAGCCTCGCTTCGAGGCGGCTGGTACTGCCCAGTGCGTGGCTGGAGGGTGTGTGGAGCGCGGCTGTAGGGAGGCGTGTGTTTGAGTGTCGAATGTGACCCCTCCGTTGTGTGTGCGTCCCTGAGGGCGGTTTGGGTTATCTCTGAGCAGACTGGGGAATTGTGAGAGAAGAGATGTTCCATGACAGACCTGTCCCCATCCAAGCACACACCCACAATATTCATGAAGAAATGATTCTGTGTCAGCTTCACTGGAAGGTTATCTGGCGGAGGTAGCGATTTAGTTGGGGGAGGGCGGCGCTAGGAAGGAGGAGAGTTGGGAGGATGTTAAAGTGAACCCACTGTGGAGGTTACCGGTGATCGTGCCTCTCCTTGGCTGTCTACAGTGACTGCTCCTAAGCCAGAGCTCTTAGGATGGTATATTTGGTTTCTGGTCTGCCTGTTACCCCTTTCCATCTGCAGCCCCATCTTCAACTCCCTCCTCTTGGCTTACTTCATCCAGCCATACTCACCTCTTCACTGTGCCTTGACCTTAACTTGGCCCGCTCCCAACGCTCTTCAGTTAGGTGGCTCCAAACTTTCCCATGATCACCCTCTTGTAGCCCTTCCCCACTCCCTGTTCTTCCTGCTTTATTTTACTCCGCTGTATTTATGACTTTTAACATAATATGGCATTAAGTGTCTTGCTTCACTAGGATGTAAGTATTTTGAAAGCAAATGTTTTTAATCCTCGAATAAAACAGAGGCTAGCACCTAATAGGCGCTCACTAAGTACTTGTTTAAAGAAGACCTTAAAGTGGCCTCGTGTAAAACTATGCAATGAGCGGTGTTATAATGGTATTTTGTTTATGTCGTTAGATTTGTTATAGTACAGTCCAATTTTATAAGAATACTTTTTCCCTGTTTCTGATATAGTTAATTTTAGTGATTTCAACGTCACATTTTCTCAAATCAGTGACTTAATCTGTTTTGGAAAATAATAGCAGTATTAGCAATTCTAGCAACCTATTGTGTTAACTGTGCTAAGCACTTGCATCCTCATTTAATGTTTTTTATTTTACAAATTTTCTCAATGTTTTATATTTGAAAAGTTCTTATGAGGAAAACTTGCAAGAATATTAGAGTGACATCCCATATACCCGTTACCTAGATTCACCAATTGTTAATACTTGGTTGCATTTGCTTTCTTTCCCTTACTTTATGTATTTTGCTGAACTCTATGAGAGTTAGTTGCAGAAGTCGGGACTCTTAACCTCTAAATACATCAGCACGTATCTTCTAAAGACAATGCCAGTCTTCTAGCCTGTAGCGATTACAGTAATGAGTATAGCATGCAGAAATTCTGAATTTTGTGTAATACTGTAATCCAGTATACAGCCTTGTATTTAGACTTACGTAGTTATCCCAATAATGTTCTCTACAGACTTTTTTTTTTTTTTTTTTTTGGTTAGACGGGTTCACTCTGTCTCCCAGCCTGGAGTGCAGTGCTATGATCATGCCCATTGCAGTGTTGATTTCTTGGGCTCAAGAAGTGGTCCTTCTGCCTCAGCCTCCTCAGTAGCTAGGAGTCCTGGCTAATATATGTATTTTTTTCGGGACAGGGTCTCTTTCTGTTACCCAGGCTGGGATGCTGAGGCATGATCTCGGCTCACTGCAAACTTCTGCCTTTCGGGTTCAAGTGATCCTCTCACCTCAGCCTTTCCAGTAGCTGGGACTACAGGCACAGGCCATCACGGCCAGCTAATTTTTGTATTTTTTTTTTTTATAGAGACAGAATTTTGCCATGTTGCCCAGTCTGGGGCTTTGCTTTGCTTTGCTTTGCTTTTCTTTCTCTCTTTCTCTCTTTTCTTTCTTTCTTTTCTTTTCTTTTCTTTTTTAAAAGATAAATGATTTTAACATTTGAGATCCAGTCAAGGATCACTCATTCCATTTAGTTACCATTTGGGTTTCTTCGATCCAGAGTTTCTCAGTGCTGTTTAAGCAGGGAGAGGAGTGTATTTTTAAACAAAATTTGGAAGAGTCTGGGCCATTTGTTTAATTAATTCAGATTGATCTAGTTGTTTCCTTATGATTAGATTCAGGCTAAACGATTTTTAGAAGGAATCTTTCATAGATAATAAATCTGTCTGTGTGCATCACACAGGGGCACACCAGGGGCACTTTGCACCTGTTTGTCCCCTTATTGGTGGTATTTGTTTAACCACTTGGTTAAAGTGTTGTCCATTATAAAGTTATCTTTTTCCATTTGTCAGTGACAAATAATATGTTAGTTTGAAACTGTGAATGTCCTATCCTTCCACAAACTTTCACCTAATGTTTTGAGTACCCTTTGATTCTTGCTGGAATCAGTTATTACTATGGTGATTTGAAAACTTATGTTTAATCATGAAAACAACCCAAGTAATGAATTAATTACTCATATATCATTTTAAATGTGATGAAACTGAGGTTTAGAGAAATTAGCTTGCATGAGCTTGTGTAGCCAGGAAGTTGTGGAGTTGGGATTTTTTTTTTTTTTTTGAGACGGAGTTTCGCTCTTGTTACCAAGGCTGGAGTGCAATGGTGTGATCTCGGCTCACCGCAACCTCCGCCTCCTGGGTTCAGGCAATTCTCCTGCCTCAGCCTCCTGAGTAGCTGGGACTACAGACACGTGCCACCATGCCCAGCTAATTTTTTTGTAGTTTTTAGTAGAGACGGGGTTTCACCATGTTGACCAGGATGGTCTCGATCTCTTGACCTTGTGATCCACCCGCCTCGGCCTCCCAAAGTGCTGGGATTACAGGCTTGAGCCACCGTGCCCGGTGGGATTTTAACTTTAATGTGGCAAAGTCTTCAATAGAAGACTTTGATACTGGATGTCAGATATTCAGAGATAATAGACAGATGTCTGCTGTTCTTGAACTGTTAGTTTGATGATACAGACACATATGTAAGCAAATATTACATTAAAGCATTATGATGCAGGTATTAGAAGAAAGAATGTGGGAGAATAAAAAAGAATGAGGGAAGGCAAGTGTTGCAAATATGAGTTTGAAGGATGAGTAGGAGTTTGTCAGGAAGTGAAAAGAAAGGAAGCATTTTCAGGTAGAGAGAGAAGAGTATATAAAGATCAAATTGTGAAAGGGCATCACATAGATAACCTTTTTTTTCTTTTTTTTTGTTTTTTTGAGACAGTGTCTCGGCTCACTGCAACCTCCACCTCCGTGGTTCAAGCAATTCTCTTGCCTCAGCCTCTTTAGTAGCTGGGATTACAGGTGTGCACCACCACACCTGGCTAATTTTTTGTATTTTTAGTAGAGATGGGATTTTGCCATGTTGGCCAGGCTGGTCTCAAACTCCTGGTCTGAAGTGATCTGCCCATCTCAGCCTTCCAAAATGCCAGGATTACAGACATGAGCCACCATGCCCTGCCTCAGAGAATGTTGAATTCAGTTTGGTACTAGAGCAGGAATGATGGCAGCATAATTTGAGAAGGAGATGGGGCAAGGGAAGGAAAGAGTGGCAGGAGGTAAGACTGGGAAAAGTTGAGTTTAGGTGGTAAAAGATCTTGTAAGTCTTCCTTGGTTTGGTCTGTAAACTGTAGACTCAGGATTGCCACCTCAAATACCTCTAGAAGCTAGGCCCGAAAGAATGTAGACAGAAGTAGTCATAGTATAAGAAAAAATAAAGGTCATAAATAGAATCGTTTCTTAATTTTTATTAAACTATGGGTATAGCACTTAGTATACAAAAGTCATAATAACTATTTTAAATTCAAAGTAGACATTGAAAGATAATTAGTGCATTTAAAAGTAACTTGGGTTGTTTTCATGATATCCTAAGGTCATCATATTTAGTTTTTAGAATTATGATTCACTAACTACTTCCTTTGTAGCTCTTTATTCATGTACCAGTATTGAGAAAGGTGAATTGAATTACCAATATTAATTCATTTTAGTAAACTTAAAAAATAGAGAACCACTGCTTTGCCTATGGAGTAGCCCTTCTTTTATTCTTTTCTCTTTTTGTTTTTGAAATGGAATTTTACTCTTTTTGCCCAGGCTGGAGTGCATGGCGTGATCTCGACACACTGCAACCTCCGCCTCCTGGGTTCAAGCAGTTCTCCTGCCTCAGCCTCCCAAGTAGCTGGGAATAAAGGCATGCTCCACCAAGCCCGGCTGATTTTTGTATTTTTAGTAGAAATGGGATTTTACCATGTTAGCCAAGGTGGTCTCTAACTCCTGACTTTGGGTGATCTACTCTCCTTGGCCTCCCAAAGTGCTGGGATTACAGGCATGAACCACTGTGCCTGACCTATTTTCTTAGTAGATTTGCTTTCACTTAGTCTTAAATGCTACAGATTGAAGAAAAAAAATATAATGCAGGCCATCATTTTCTTTTCTGGTCACTTAATTCAGTATAGAAAGTAGGCCAGATTATTCCTTGTCAAATGAATTTTCCAAACACACTTTTGCTAGGTATTAGCATTTTTTTTTTTTTTTTTTTTTTTTTTT